AGGGAATGAGCCGACATGAACAATCGCGTGTTAAATAATTTTTTGAGGTGGTGACACCTGATTTTTGCTGTGGCTGTGCTCAGGAGGCAGATCTACCGACCGCAAAAACAGCGGAGTGCTCCCTGCTTGGCGGCCGCATCAGTGATCGGTGTGTCGGAGGACAAGGTGATGTGCCCCGCTCCACAGCAGCGAAACATATCAGGCGCAAATAAAAGACAGAAAACATTAAAGGAAATGAACCGACATGAACGATCGCCTGTCAGTACCGACGCTCTGGCACAGCGCGTTGAGCGCAGAAGTTTGTCACCTGCTGACAGCAGGCTGCTGTCTTTTCCGAGTACTGCATCTTGCGGTCATTATCACGTGACAGCGTCTAGTCGACGACAGGCATAAAAAGTCACTATAGTGAAGTCGACTAGTTCCTACAACCCCTGCTACTACTCCCCAGAGTGTTCTGCAGCATAATCAGCACGTTCTCTTTGAATTTGATATCAAATTTTCACCTCCTCTTCGTCTCCGCACGGTTAAAGTCACCCTCGCGGTCTATCACTGGCAAATCTAAAGTGAGACGATGACACAACCGCCCCCCCATACTTGCTTGTTACCACATTTCACCCGGCCACAATAAGAGAGCGGCCATTATTCACCTCCGCCGACACCGGCCAAAATTGGAGACCCGGCCTTTAATTGAATACCGGCCTGTATTAGAGGATTTACGGTATATGCAATTTTGAACCTTTAAATTTGGAAACAAACTTATTTCTGCATTAACACTGAATGTGGAATAACCAAATTACACAAGAGCAAGTCAGTTTTAAATAAAAGGCATCAGTGGTATTCATTACTTGTGGTATAATGGTGAGACCAAGATGGCGCCGAGGATGGTCGCCCTGGTGCTAACGTGCAGCGTGTTTTTTTTGTTTATGTCTGTAAATTGTGTGTCAGCGTGCTCTTACACCCGTGAAGAGCTTCTAAACGTCAGATCATCAATGCCGACGGACCTATTTCCAGTTTTTTTAGTGGGTGTGGCGGATTTGGTCCACTTTTTTATTAAGAAAGTGAGACGCCGTAGAAGAGGAAAACTTGCAGGAGTGCTCGTGCATCTACGAAGACACGGCTCATGCACGCCCTTACCTGGGATTTTCCTCTCCAATGTCCGCTCACTTAGTAACAAGACGGATGAACTGGCGCTGCTGATGAGACGGAACAGAGACTTTTCTTCCTCCTCTGTCATATGTTTCACGGAAACATGGCTCAGTGAGCAGATTCCGGACGGCGCACTCCATTTGGAGGGATTCCAGCTCTTCCGCGCAGACAGACAGCGGGTCTTATCTGGAGGAAAGGCAAAAGGTGGAGGTGTCTGCTTCTACATCAACAATGCCTGGTGTTCGGATGTGACTGTGATTTCCCAGTACTGTTCTCCTGCTCTGGAATTCCTCTTCATAAACTGTAAGCCATTCTACTCTCCACGTGAGTTTGCTTCATTCATTCTGGCTGCTGTTTACATTCCGCCGTGCGCGGACGTGCACGAAGCGCAACGTGCGCTCGCGGAGCAGATCCTAAGTGTGGAACAGACCTTTCCGGACTCTCTAGTTATTATCCTCGGCGACTTTAACAAGGCAAATCTGAGCCAGGAATTACCTAAGTACAGACAGTTTGTTAAATGCCCGACAAGAGAGCAGAACACGCTGGACCACTGCTACACTACAGTTAGTGGAGCTTATCGGGCCGTGCAGCGAGCTGCTCTCGGCTTCTCAGACCATGCCATGATTCACCTCATCCCCTCATATAGGCAGAGGCTGAAGCTCTCCAAGCCTGCAGTGAGGACTACTAAGAAGTGGACCTGCGAGGCTATGGAGGAGCTTCGCGTGTGTCTGGACACAACAGACTGGAATGTGTTTGGATCTGCCACAGACAATTTGGATGAATATACAGACACTGTGACGTCATACATAAAAATCTGTGAGGACAGCATTATTCCAACAAAAACAGGGTAATTTTTAACAACGATAAGCCCTGGTTGACACCCAAACTGAGACAGCTGAGGAGAGAAAGAAGCAGCCCACAGAGCCGATGACAGAGAAAGCTATAAGGGCGCTAAGTACAGGTTCTCAAAAGAGTTGAAGAAGGCGAGATCTCTGTACAACAAGCGACTAAAGGAGCAGTTCTCCAACAATGACTCCGCCTCTGTCTGGAGAGGGCTCAGGCAAATCACAAACTACAAGCCCAGAGCCCAACATGCTGCTGACGATCTACAACTGGCTGAACAACTCAACTCCTTTTATGCAAGGTTTGAAGTGCAACACCCATCCCCCACACCCCCTACTGCACAGGCTTCTTCAGCCACTCTGGTGTCATATGCCTCCCCCACCATCTTCACCACTGTGAATAGTTCAGTCCTCACTGACCACCCCTCCCCCTCCATTGCCATCTCAGTGAAAGAAAAGGATGTGCTCAGGGTTTTCCGTAAGCAAAATCCTCGGAAATCCCCGGGCCCGGACGGTGTCTCCCCCGCAACCCTGAGACACTGCGCAGAGGTACTGTCTCCAATCTTCACGGACATCTTTACCATCTCCTGCCATGTTCCAGCCTGCTTTAAGCTGTCCACCATTGTTCCTGTGCCTAAGAAACCCCATGTCACTGAACTGAATGATTATAGGCCTGTGGCGCTGACGTCTGTAGTCATGAAGTCTTTTGAGCGCCTGGTCCTCCCTCATCTCAAGTCCTTCACCTCCCCCCACCTGGACCCTCTGCAGTTCGCATACAGAGCCAATAGGTCTGTAGACGACGCCATCAACCTGGCCCTCCACTTCATCCTGCAGCACCTGGACTCCCCGGGAACCTACGCTAGGATCCTGTTTGTGGACTTCAGCTCTGCGTTCAACACCATCTTCCCTGCTCTGCTCCAGGACAAGCTTTCCATGCTCAACGTACCCAACTCCACCTGCAGGTGGACCACTGACTTCCTGACGGACCGAAGGCAGTGCGTGCGGCTGGGGAAGAATGTTTCCACCATTCAGACAATTAGCACAGGATCCCCACAGGGCTGTGTACTTTCTCCTCTGCTCTTCTCCCTGTATACAAACTGCTGCACCTCGAGCTATGACTCCGTTAAACTAATCAAGTTTGCGGACAACACCACCCTCATCGGGCTCATCTCTGACGGTGATGAGTCTGCCTACAGGAGAGAGGTGGAACGGCTGGTGTACTGGTGCAGCAGCAACAACCTGGAGCTCAATGCTCAGAAGACAGTGGAGATGATTGTGGACTTCAGGAAAGTAACAGCCCCATCTCTCCCCCTCGTCCTGTCGGACACCCCCGTCACCACTGTGGACTCCTTCCGCTTCCTCGGAACCACCATCACACATGACCTTAGGTGGGAGCCATCCATCAGCTCCCTGCTCAAAAAGGCCCAGCAGAGGATGTACTTTCTGCGGCAGTTGAAAAAGGCCAAGCTGCCGGCCCAGATGATGGTGCAGTTTTACACGGCCATCATTGAGTCCATCCTCACTTCCTCCATCGCTGTGTGGTACGCTGGAGCCACAGTGAGGGACAAACACAGACTGCAGCGCATTGTGCGCTCTGCTGAGAAGGTGATTGGCTGCAGCCTTCCATCTCTCCAGGACCTGTACGTCTCCAGAACTCGGGGGCGTGCAGGTCGGATAGCAGCTGACCCTTCGCACCCGGGTCACAGACTTTTTGAGCCGCTTCCCTCGGGCAGGAGGTTACGGTCCATCCAGACCAGAACCTCTCGCCATAAGAACAGCTTCTTTCCATCTGCCGTTAGACTTGTGAACAGCTTATAAACACACAACCACGCTCGTCTTCGGTACTTGACATAACGTCACGTTATCGGCCATATTACCTTTACCTGCCATTTTTTATAGCAAAGTTTTATGCTACTTTATTATATTTTATTCTACTTTATTCTATTTTTTAATTATATTATTCATGTTATATGTAGCACGTTAGTACCGAAGGAAGTTCCTAGTTTGTGAATTGTTTGTTCACTGACAATGGCAATAAACCTTTTCTGATTCTGATTCTGATAATCAGCATTTTAAAAATCTTTTAAATCTTTAAATCTTTTAAATCTTTTCTCACGGGCCAACAACAAAATAAAAATATCATTTTATCTTAAATGAAAATGCAATATCTCACCTGTTAACTTTCATGTTTTGGAGCAGAAAACGAGCATAAAACCAACATATTTAAGGCTCAGTTTGCTCCACTGGTTTACTGTGATGCTCACCTGTTCCAGCCAGATACCTGCATCATGGGGTTGATCTGAGCTGAGGAGGAGACTCCTGTTGTTTTGTTCATCTTCATCATAATAATGACAACAGGTGCGGACATAGGTTTGTGCTGATGAACATGTCTGAGCAGCTTGACCACGTTGTTGTGTGTCGGGGAGGAAACACAATGACAGCAGCCACAGAGTCATGCTGGCTTGAGCGTGTCGCTGCTCGCTGGAGTTATATCAGCTCTGTCTGGACGTTAGTTGGACAACTTTCTCTTTCAGTCGTGAACACATTACTGAGCGGCTAGAATCTCCATTTCTGGGCTTCAACGTCAGAAAATATCTGAGTGACCTCAGCGCTGAGTGAGAGGAGTGTAGTATGTCCGAGACAGCGGAGCTGCAGACACCGGCAGCAGGTGCTGGAAAAAACACAAAGGAGGGGGCTCGTCGGCTCCGCGCTGACACCGCAAAGCATCATGGGAGTTGAAGTAATTGCGGTAAAATCAGCCAGCGGGCCAATTTTGATATTTATCCCACGGGCCACATAAAAATGCTCCGCGGGCCGCATCTGGCCCGCGGGCCGTGAGTCTGACATATGTGCCCTACGTGAATGTGGCAGTAGTGCAATCACACAGGTTGCAAGCTGCCATTAAAAACCGCAGAAGAAGATGATGTAAACATGAACTTTCTTTGACCAACTTGTCATGTTGTGTGGTAGATGCCTAACCCACGACATACAGAATCAGTCCACAGAGTCAAAGAAGATCGCAAACAATAATTTATTAGAAAAGGAGAACAGAAGGAGCTGCTAGGAAGTCTAGCAGTATTCGGCAGAGAAGCGAGGTTCGGGTGTGGAGAATCCTGGAGGAACAGGGAGAGTTAGGTCTGGCACTCGGAAATCTGAATGTTGGATCTGATGGAACTTACAGGTTGGAGGTGAGACCTCGTGAGAGAGGGAGGAGTGACCGGTCTGGGGAGGGCAGGAGGCTTACTGGAGGCTGATGAGCTTGGAGTCCAAATGAGGAGGGAGCTGAGCATGAAGGGTAATGGTGATCCAGGAGGGAGGGTGGGCAGCCTGGAGTGGGAAGACCAGAGGAGGACGCTGAGAGACGAGTGGACAGTGAAGAAACCAGGTTGGTAGTAGCAAACGAGGTGAACTGATAGGTGATATCTGCAGGAGGCAAAACAAGCAGTCAAAAACACAGAAAGCTCAAAAATCAAAAATCCATAACCCAGAAATTCTCAAAATCTAAACTTAGTTTGGATTTGGCTGTTAGGAGAAATACCCAAGTTGAGTTAATCATCCAGCGAAGTGAAGGCGTCTCTCAGGAGCTTAAATATCCCTGGCCAGCTAATCAGCAGATTACCTGCAGCCTCCCCACTTCCAGGCACGCCCACCTGCAGAGGAGAGATGAGACTCTACACCAATTAGTGTGTGAAAAAACCCCAGACCGTGACACAACTAGTTTGATTTGGCGTTAAGCTAGCGGGCGGGTGCTGCTGCAATGAGGAGCTGGATACCAACCGAAAATGGCTAAAAAACGAATGAAAACATATAATTTTCATAGTGATTGGGAGGAGCAGTTCTTTTTTAAGCTTGTGAGAGAAAAATGTGTGTGTCTCATTTGTGGTATGACTGTGGCGACAGCAAAGTGGCACAATGTGGAGCAGGGCCGGAGTGGGACACATTTTCAGCCCTGGAGTTTCAGACCCCAGACCGGCCCACTTAACGACTTATTATTAAAATCATGTTACAACTTCATATGTATAGTCTACAAAAGCACACTACTCGGTAAAGCCTTGTAATTCAGTGCAAGAAAGAGTTGATTTACAATGTAGGTTTATTTGAACATCAGTGCACATCTCCAACATTGTTCTTTACAACACATTCTCTAACAATATAACAAGAATATTCTGTTCAAACAGCTGTTCTGAGATTTTCAAACCTTTAAAATGAAATAAAATAATAAATGAAAATATAGATTTCAAATAGTGATAAATAAAATAAAGTGTTGCACATTCTATTAGCACTAGTTTTTTTTCTCTGTAAGAAAACAGTTTCACCACAACTTAGTTTTAACAAATAAGCTCTATAACACTTTTTACAACATCAAATTGTCCTTTTCTGCTAAATCAAATACCAATCAATTAGTGTTCACAGACATCTAATCAGAATGAACAAAGAATGAAAAAATTGCACTGTTTTCTGCAAGTTTGCAATTCACAGTATAAGATAATGTTCTAATGATGCCATTATACCCCCTAAAAAGGTTCTTCATTATCTTGTTTTTCCTTTGCATAGTAGTTTCAAAAACACATGCCCAACCTACAACAATAATAAACGTTTGAGAAGTGCACTGGTCTCTGCGACTTTGTTTATTACTGCATCATTGTCCAAAGACATGAGAATTTCTTTCTCAGTGCACATGAGCATGAAGGCCTCAAGTTTCTTCTGGGTCAAAGTGCTCCTTAGTCTGTTTTTTATGAACTTCATGATTGAAAAACTTCGTTCACAGGATACCTGTGTGATGGACAGTGTTAATAACAACTTGTAGGCCAGTCCAATCACATGGTAGGCATCCGTTAGCAGATTATACTGAGACAGGATGAGATGAACACAAATGACACAGTTTTTACAGGAGGAACAAAGTTTGCTCTCTAGTTCAGCATCCTGCTGTGCCATTGGAGGATCCTGCTCGCTTCCTTGTGACATTGCACCAGCTGTCCTGACAGTATAACCCTCCAGAGGGGACATCTTTAATCTGTCCCACTGACATGCAAGGCTGTAGAGTTCACTACATAATGTGCCAACTGTAGCTCTGTTGTCAAATTTAAGCAGACATTTGCTTATTTCTTTCAGAGCTGAGCTAGGGAGTCTATTTTCCCTCATGTGAGCAAAGTTCTGAGGGTCTAGCCAGGCAAAATCTGAGCAAAGTTTTGCATTGGCAGAAAACCTTCTATGGATACTGTCTGTCACTGTGTCCACAATGACATTGTGAACTTTGACCTTGAAGTTCATATCAGCTGATGCTAGATGCTCATCTTCTGTGAGCTCTCCTGGCATTCTTTTCTTTTTTCTGAACCTTTTCTCAGGAAGGGCAGTCTGCACTACCATCTCACACTCTTCCTCTTCTTGCAACTTCCTATTAGCCCACTTCACGAACTCATCAGCTGCACACTTAACTCCTTCAAAGTCCCTAGCACACTCCCTGAGACCCTCCTCTGTCCCTTCAACCAGACGTTGAGCTGTAATAATATCCATTCCTTTTGTCTGCAAGTACTTTGAAAGAGGAGATGTTTGCTCAAAAATGCGAAGGAAAGTTTGAGCTGTGAGCACCGTCTCATACCTCAAAAGGCCTTCAATGAATCCTTTTGCCTTGGCCCTCACAGTTGGCTGTTGTGTTCTGTCATCTACAATGGTGTGTAATGTCATAAGAACTTCATGAAACAAGGCCCCCTGAGGGTTCCCAAAGCACCCAAACACTTTACTTAGTGCCTGATCCTTAGCCCACCACCTGGTTGGCCCTATTGGGCACAGTCGTCTGTGATGCTTGTCCTGACTCATCTCTTCCCACCTCTGCATGCGCTTGTATGACTCTCTTAGAAAAACTGCTATATCATTAAGCAGTGAAAACAGGGATGCACTTTCAATAACACTGCCTGTTGTGTCTGCCAGTACAAGATTCAAAAGATGTGCATAACACCATATATGAATCTGATTGGGGGACTGCTCAGAGAGCAGTGCAGAAAACCCCCGATACTGTCCCTGCATATTGGCTGCACCATCTGTGGAGTTGCCCACACATGTGCCTATATCAATATTCAGTTCCAGTAAAACCTTTTTCAGGAGCTCTGCAAAATGCTGCCCTGTAGATGACTCACAGTCTAACATAGCAATCAGTCTTTCATGAATGACATCGGTTACATATCTTATGATGATGGAGCACTGGTCTTTGCTGCTGACATCTTGTGTGGTGTCAATTTGGACTGAAAACATTCCCGCTTGTCTTACTTCTTCCGCTATAATTGCTTTTATCAGTTGGCTGATGACATCCACAACTTTGTTGAATGTGTCTTTTGACAGCAGTGTAACTAGAGACCCTCTGCCTTTGGCACCAGTTTCATGCTGTTTCTTGCTGTTTTCTATGCAAGTGTTTACATGTTGTTGTAAGCAAATGTCATATCTACTCAAAAGTAGAATCAATTCTAAGACATTGCCATGATTAACAGCGATGTTTTCTAGGCTGTAACCTGCCTCCTCTTTATCTCCCCTGTAGCTAAGGCCACATTTGCCAATAACTTTTTAACTTTTCAACTCTATCGCTCCTTCTGTGTTTTTCTTTATTTTGGCTCATGACCCCAAGGCTCTGCTATACCAGAGACTTCCTCATTGGCAAGTGGCTAATGTTCGGTCTCTCCGTAACAAGCTAGACAAGCTGCAAGCCTGCGTCAACCACTTGCGAGTATCGAACTGCTTCTGTTCTGGCTTTCACCGAGTCATCATGGTTAAACAACAGTGACGACGTCAGCACGCTGCACATTGATGGCTTTTCACTAGAAAAAGTTTTTCTGATTCTGATCTTGACTTGCCTTACCCGTTTTATCTTCATTTGAAGTTAAAGACCGTGAGCTTGTTTGTGAAAAAAAGGTGCTCATTTTTGCACATTTAGCTGCATCTGTTTCCAGCGCTTTCCTCTTTTTAATTCTTGCCTTCTCCGCGCCACCCTTGCTCTTTCTACTCTCCATCTTTCCATCAACTGCGTGGTCACGTGGTGCGCACAGGCGCGTACAGGAAAAATAAATAAATAAATAAACGAGCTGCAGCCTGCAGGTAGAGCCAGCCAGAGACAGCCAGGAGGAGCGTATGAGATCAGCCCGGCGGCCTCAGTGCCATGGCCCATGACTGAACACCGGCACCAAAAAATAAAAAAATTATAAAAAACAAAAACAAGAGCACCGGCCCATGCGGCCCAAATATCGCGCGGCCCACCGGGAATTCTCCAGACCCTCCCGATTAGCCACTCCGGGCCTGATGTGGAGAGACACTTCAGTACTTGTCACAAAAGCTACAATGCTAGCTACCCACCTAGCAGCGCACTATGGAAAGAAAAAGCATGTGAGTTAAAGGCAGCTTTGGGCAACACAGCAGTCTTTATTCAAGAAGCCGGTGGAAAAGTCACAAAATACAACAGAAGCGTCATTTTGAGCCACACATATTTTATATTAAGAACAAGAAGACATTTTCAGATGGAGAAGTTTTCAAAGAAGCAATGATGATAATCGCAAAGACTGTATTTAAAGATGAGAAGAATGGAACCAATGTCATCTCCACTCTCTCCAACGTCCAACTGGGCGCAAGTACAACGGTAAGAAGAGTGACGGCAATGTCAGAGAACTTAACAGAGCAGCTGGAGCAGGATTTGGCAACATGCAAGTGGTTTAGCATCCAGTGTGACGAGTCTGTGGACTGCAGCAGTTCAGCACAGCTGATGGTCTTTATTCGTATGGTTTTTGATGACTTCTTCACTAAAGAGGATCTTCTGACATTACTGCCCCTCCAGACAACTACAAGGGGAGTTGACATATACAACGCAGTTAAGAGTTTTCTTGTGGGAAAAAAAGTACCACTAGAAAAGCTAGTGATCGGCCAGCATACAGGTTTCATCGCGCCCGCAAAGGTGACGCAGACTTCCAAACATTTCTACATTACCATTGCATCATTTATCAGCAGACGATATGTTCAAAAATGACCGAATTTGAGCATGTGATGACTCCTGTTGTGAAGATCATAAATAGCATCCGCTACTAAGCCGAACAGCACAGGATATTCAAAGTTCTATTGGAGGAGCTGTCAGCGGAATATGGTGACCTGTTACTACACACAGAAATCTGATGGCTCATTAGGGGACGGGTTTTACAAGGTTTTTATTTTATTTTTTTTTTCACTTTTGTGTGAAATCAAGGAGTTCATGCAATCCAAAGGAGAAGACATCTTGTTGCTGGAGGACATTGAATGGATACTTGACCTTGCATTTTTAACAGACATCGCTGGGAAACTTAACCATTAGAACTGTGAGCTCCAAGCAAGCCCCCACAATGCGGCTCAAAAATTGAAGCAATCCCAGACATACCAAAAATTGCAGTTCCACCCTACAAGTCAGGTGGTGCAGGTATGGACCCCATTTCCACATTCCTGTGACAGCCTGCCCCCCAATTGTATTTGCACATTAAACACTTCCACCAACAACATTCCATGCAAACACACACCTAAGGCCTTGGGAGTAAACACATACAACAGCATTTGGCAAGGGGATCTTTTATGGCGTTTAAAGCGTGCCACAACCCGTGCACGCGCATTGGGTCCACAGCGCGCGTGTGAACGGGACTCGCGAGCGGAAATATACATGGCGAGAGGTCATTTGTGCACTGAGAGGGAGCAAACTG